TTGTTACCCCTTCTTCCCCTTGTTACCCCTTGTTACCCTTGTTACCCTTGTTACCCTTTTACCCCTTGTTACCCTTTGTTACCCTTGTTACCCTTGTTACCCCTTGTTACCCCTTGTTACCCTTGTTACCCTTGTTACCCCTTGTTACCCTTGTTACCCTTGTTACCCCTTGTTACCCCTTGTTACCCTTTGTTACCCTTGTTACCCCTTGTTACCCTTTGTTACCCCTTGTTACCCTTTGTTACCCTTGTTACCCCTTGTTACCCTTGTTACCCTTGTTACCCTTGTTACCCTTGTTACCCTTGTTACCCTTTGTTACCCTTGTTACCCCTTGTTACCCTTGTTACCCCTCGTTACCCCCTGTTACCCTTGTTACCCCTGGTTACCCTTGTTACCCTTGTTACCCCGGGTTACACGTGTTAGTCCTTGTTACCCCTATTTAACCTTTTAACCCTTTGTTACCCTTGTCACCCCTTCTTACCCTTGTTACCCCTTGTTACCCTTGTTCCCCTTCTTACCCCTTTTACCCTTTGTTTCCCTTGCTACTCCTTGTTACACTTGTTACCCCTTGTTACCTTTGTTACCCTTGTTACCCCTTGTTACCCTTGTTACCCCTTGTTACCCTTGTTACCCCTTGTTACCCTTGTTACCCCTTGTTACCCCTTGTTACCCTTGTTACCCCTTTTACCCTTGTTACCCCTTGTTACCCTTGTTACCCCTTGTTACCCTTGTTACCCTTGTTACCCCTTGTTACCCCTTGTTACCCTTGTTACCCCTTTGTTACCCTTGTTACCCCTTGTTACCCTTGTTACCCCTGTTACCCCTTGTTACCCTTTGTTACCCCTTGTTACCCTTGTTACCCTTGTTACCCTTGTTACCCTTATTTACCTTGTTACCCTTATTTACCCTTGTTTACCTTTGTTACCCCTTGTTGTTACCCTTGTTACCTTGTTACCCTTGTTACCCTTGTTACCCCTTGTTACCCTTTAACCCTTTGTTACCCCTTTTTACCCTTTTGTTACCCTTGTTACCCCTTGTTACCCCTTGTTACCCTTGTTACCCTTGTTACCCTTGTTACCCCTTGTTACCCTTGTTACCCCTTGTTACCCTTGTTACCCTTGTTACCCTTGTTACCCTTGTTACCCCTTGTTACCCCTTGTTACCCTTGTTACCCTTGTTACCCTTTGTTAGCCTTGTTACCCCTTGTTACCCTTGTTACCCTTGTTGCCCTTTGTTACCACTTGTTACCCTTGTTACCCCTTGTTACCCTTTTTTACCCCTTGTTACCCCTTGTTACCCTTGTTACCCTTGTTACCCTTGTTACCCATTTTTACCCTTGTTACCCCTTGTTACCCCTTGTTACCCTTGTTACCCTTGTTACCCTTGTTACCCCTTGTTACCCCTTGTTACCCCTTGTTACCCTTGTTACCCTTTGTTACCCTTTTTTCCCCTTGTTACCCCTTGTTACCCTTGTTACCCTTGTTACCCTTGTTACCCCTTGTTACCCCTTGTTACCCCTTGTTACCCTTGTTACCCCTTGTTACCCTTGTTACCCCTTTTACCCTTGTTACCCTTGTTACCCTTGTTACCCTTGTTACCCTTGTTACCCTTGTTACCCTTGTTACCCTTGTTACCCTTGTTACCCCTGTTACCCTTGTTACCCTTGTTACCCCTTGTTACCCTTGTTACCCTTGTTACCCTTGTTACCCTTGTTACCCTTGTTACCCCTTGTTACCCTTGTTACCCTTGTTACCCCTTGTTACCCTTGTTACCCTTGTTACCCTTGTTACCCTTTGTTACCCTTGTTACCCTTGTTACCCCTTGTTACCCTTGTTACCCTTGTTACCCTTGTTACCCTTGTTACCCTTTTTACCCTTGTTACCCTTGTTACTTTTGTTACCCTTTTTTACCCTTGTTACCCCTTGTTACCCTTGTTACCCTTTGTTACCCTTGTTACCCCTTGTTACCCTTTGTTACCCTTGTTACCCCTTGTTACCCTTTTTTACCCTTGTTACTCTTGTTACTCTTTGTTACCCTTTTTTACCCTTGTTACCCTTGTTACCCTTTGTTACCCTTGTTACCCTTTGTTACCCTTGTTACCCCTTGTTACCCTTTGTTACCCTTGTTACCCTTTGTTACCCTTTTTACCCCTTGTTACCCTTTGTTACCCTTGTTACCCTTGTTACCCTTGTTACCCTTGTTACCCTTGTTACCCTTGTTACCCTTGTTACCCTTGTTACCCTTGTTACCCCTTGTTACCCTTGTTACCCTTGTTACCCTTGTTACCCTTGTTACCCTTTGTTACCCTTGTTACCCCTTGTTACCCTTGTTACCCTTGTTACCCTTGTTTACCCTTGTTACCCTTGTTACCCTTGTTACCCTTGTTACCCCTTTGTTACCCTTGTTACCCTTGTTACCCTTGTTACCCTTGTTACCCTTGTTACCCTTGTTACCCTTGTTACCCTTGTTACCCTTGTTACCCCTTGTTACCCTTGTTACCCTTGTTACCCTTTGTTACCCTTGTTACCCTTTGTTACCCTTGTTACCCCTTGTTACCCTTGTTACCCCTTTGTTACCCTTGTTACCCTTGTTACCCTTTGTTACCCTTGTTACCCTTTGTTACCCTTTGTTACCCTTGTTACCCTTTGTTACCCTTGTTACCTTGTTACCCCTTGTTACCCTTGTTACCCTTTGTTACCCCTTGTTACCCTTGTTACCCTTGTTACCCCTTGTTACCCTTGTTACCCCTTGTTACCCTTGTTACCCTTGTTACCCTTTGTTACCCTTGTTACCCTTGTTACCCCTTGTTACCCTTGTTACCCTTGTTACCCTTGTTACCCTTTGTTACCCTTGTTACCCTTTTTACCCTTGTTACCCCTTGTTACCCTTTGTTACCCCTTGTTACCCTTTGTTACCCTTGTTACCCTTGTTACCCTTGTTACCCTTGTTACCCTTGTTACCCTTGTTACCCTTATTACCCTTGTTTACCCCTGTTACCCTTGTTACCCTTGTTACCCTTTTTTACCCTTGTTACCCTTGTTGTTTGTTACCCTTGTTACCCTTGTTACCCTTGTTACCCTTGTTACCCTTGTTACCCTTTTTACCCTTTGTTTCCCTTGTTACCCCTGTTTACCCTTGTTACCCTTGTTACCCTTGTTACCCCTTGTTACCCTTGTTACCCTTGTTACCCTTGTTACCCTTTGTTACCCTTGTTACCCCTTGTTACCCTTGTTACCCTTGTTACCCTTTGTTACCCTTGTTACCCTTGTTACCCTTTGTTACCCCTTGTTACCCCTTGTTACCCTTTGTTACCCCTTGTTACCCTTGTTACCCTTGTTACCCCTTGTTACCCTTGTTACCCTTGTTACCCTTGTTACCCTTTGTTACCCTTGTTACCCTTGTTACCCTTGTTACCCTTGTTACCCTTTTGTTACCCTTGTTACCCTTGTTACCCTTGTTACCCTTGTTACCCCTTGTTACCCCTTGTTACCCTTGTTACCCTTGTTACCCTTGTTACCCCTTGTTACCCTTTGTTACCCTTGTTACCCTTGTTACCCCTTGTTACCCTTGTTACCCTTGTTACCCCTTGTTACCCTTGTTACCCTTGTTACCCTTTGTTACCCCTTTTTTACCCCTTTTGTTACCCTTGTTATTTTGTTACCTTTGTTACCCTTTGTTACCCTTTTTACCCCTTGTTACCCCTTGTTACCCTTGTTACCCTTGTTACCCCTTGTTACCCTCTGTTACCCCTTGTTACCCTTGTTACCCCTTGTTCCCCTTGTTACCCCTTGTTACCCTTATTACCCTTGTTACCCCTTTTACCCCTTGTTACCCCTTGTTACCCTTGTTACCCCTTGTTACTCTTTGTTACCCTTGTTACCCCTTGTTACCCTTGTTACCCTTTGTTACCCCTTGTTACCCTTGTTACCCTTTGTTACCCTTGTTACCGCTTGTTACCCTTTGTTACCCTTGTTACCCCTTGTTACCCTTGTTACCCCTTGTTACCTTTGTTACCTTTGTTACCCCTTGTTACCCTTGTTACCCCTTGTTACCCCTTGTTACCCTTGTTACCCTTGTTACCCTTTGTTACCCTTGTTACCCTTTGTTACCCTTGTTACCCCTTTTACCCCTTTGTTACCCTTTTTTACCCCTTGTTACCCTTTGTTACCCTTGTTACCCTTGTTACCCTTTTGTTACCCTTGTTACCCTTGTTACCCTTTTTGTTACCCCTTTGTTACCCTTTGTTACCCTTGTTACCCTTTGTTACCCTTGTTACCCTTTGTTACCCTTTGTTACCCCTTGTTACCCTTTGTTACCCTTTGTTACCCCTTGTTACCCTTGTTACCCTTGTTACCCTTGTTACCCTTTGTTACCCTTTGTTACCCTTGTTACCCTTTGTTACCCTTTTGTTACCCTTGTTACCCTTTGTTACCCTTTTACCCTTTGTTACCCTTTTGTTACCCTTTTTACCCTTGTTACCCTTTTGTTACCCTTTTTACCCTTTGTTACCCTTGTTACCCTTGTTACCCTTTTGTTTTTGTTACCCTTTGTTACCCTTTTTTACCCTTGTTACCCTTTGTTACCCTTGTTACCCTTTGTTTTGTTACCCTTTGTTACCCTTTTTTACCCTTTGTTACCCTTGTTACCCTTTGTTACCCTTGTTACCCTTTGTTCCCCTTGTTACCCTTTGTTACCCTTTTTTACCCTTTTGTTCCCCTTTGTTACCCTTTGTTACCCTTTGTTACCCTTTTTACCCTTTTTTACCCTTTTTACCCTTTTTTTACCCTTTTTTTCCCCTTGTTACCCTTTTTACCCTTTGTTACCCTTTTGTTACCCTTTTGTTACCCTTGTTACCCTTTGTTACCCTTGTTTACCCTTGTTACCCTTTTTACCCTTTGTTACCCTTTTTTTACCCTTTTTACCCTTTTTACCCTTACCCTTGTTACCCTTTTGTTACCCTTTGTTACCCTTTTTACCCTTGTTACCCTTGTTACCCTTTTTTACCCTTTGTTACCCTTTTTACCCTTTGTTACCCTTTTACCCTTGTTACCCTTGTTACCCTTTGTTACCCTTTTTACCCTTTGTTACCCTTTTTGTTACCCTTTTGTTACCCTTTTGTTACCCTTTGTTACCCTTTTGTTACCCTTTGTTACCCTTTGTTACCCTTTTGTTACCCTTTTTTCCCCTTTTTACCCTTTTTACCCTTTTTTACCCTTTGTTACCCTTGTTACCCTTTGTTACCCTTTTTTACCCTTTTTACCCTTTGTTTGTTACCCTTGTTACCCTTGTTACCCTTGTTACCCTTTGTTACCCTTTTTACCCTTTGTTACCCTTGTTACCCTTGTTACCCTTTGTTACCCCTTTTTACCCTTTGTTACCCTTTGTTACCCTTGTTACCCTTGTTACCCTTGTTACCCTTGTTACCCTTTGTTACTTTTTACCCTTTTTACCCTTTGTTACCCTTTGTTACCCTTGTTACTCTTGTTACCCCTTGTTACCCTTGTTACCCTTGTTACCCTTTGTTACGCTTTTTACCCTTTGTTACCCTTGTTACCCTTGTTACCCTTGTTACCCTTGTTACCCTTTGTTGACCTGGTTGCGCTTGTTACCCTGTTTTCTTCTGTGTTACTTTTTAATCCTCTGTGTTCTAACTTTAGCAATATAATTGCATAGATAAAAAACATATCTTAAACTGGAAGGAGCTGATATACAGAATAGGTTCTCTTAATGACCGTAAACATTGTCTCTCTTCTTCTACAGCAAATCAGTCGCTGAATGTTTCAACGATTGCTACACCAACACCAACACCAACACCAACACCAACACCCGGTAAGGAAAATGTAGATGGCTTGCAGTTGTTTTTTAGGTGTCCGGACAACGCCCTACCAAGTCCGGATTACTATCTCCCAATCTTAGACGATTAGCCCTCAAGCTTAATTGCAATTTTAAGACGAAACTTACTTTTGTTACTCTTCTCCACTCGCGGCTGAATACTCAAGTTCCAATTAATTGCTTCTGTTTTACATATACAATATTAAAGCATGCAAAGTTAGTTAAAGAATTGACAATAACTTAAGAAGAAATTAAGTTCGTAAATTTTGCTGTAGTATGTGACAATCACGAAACAACTTAAGGTAGTTGTAGTATAGCATTTTGAAGTTTCTTTCTCGTGTTTTTGGCGGAATAAAGTATCTTGGAGTGACAATATATTTGTGGAAAGTAACATACTAGGTGTTTTCATAATGGGCTCTAGAGATTTTGGGCAAAACGTTCGTGCTAATGGGTTTTTGCGCGAGTTGTCTAACGTTTTGTTTTAGCGTCGGTAATGCTTCGAATTCTCAAAGTTCTTATTTAACTTTCAGTTTCAGGCTCATTAGAAACACAGACTGGTTCCTCCGCCGCTCCTATAAACGTTATAATTCCAGTTCTGATCACGCTTATTCTCGTAATTGCGCTGGTCATTGTTTGCTTCATTAGACGCAAGAGACTCGAAAGACGAGTACGAAAAAGACTAGGTAACAGTGAAGCTAACTTGGTCAACGATGACAGTTCAGCTCAGTATCACGACCTCCACTCACAAGATTATGATTCTTCTGAAGAACTGCAAAATATCTTTCCTACAAGTTAAAAAATGGTCCAAGACCTAGACCTTTAGCACGAACTTGTGATGGATAGTTGTTATCTATTGACTTCATGGCGAAAAATTTAAAAAAGCACCCTTCATTTCCAATTTAAACATGCTAAAACATTTTTATGACAAAACAGCAGTGTACGTTTAGGATTTTGACGTCCAAGGGTTGGTAACATGAGGAGTTCTTCCGCTCAGAAATCTTACATCAAGGGGTTCTAACGTTCAACGTTTCTTTCGTTTAGGGGTCATTACCTCCAGGATTTTTTACTTCCAAAAGTTGGTACGTTCCGGGGTTCTTATGCTCTAGACTTCTTACATCCAAGGGTTTCTAAATCAAAACGTTGTTCAAATGGATAATTATCGGCAGGTTCAAAGAGGCAATATGATAATAATAACAAAAGGCCCCTGGTTGTAAGACTCCTGGTCTTAAGAACCCTGGTTGTAAAACTCCTAATACTAAGACCCCTGATTGTTAAACTCCTAATAGCAAGACCCCTGGTTGTAAAATTCCTAATGGTAGGACCTCTGGTTGTGAGACCCCTGGTCGTAAGACCCCTGGCTGTAAGACTCCTGGTTGTAAGACCCCTGGTTGTGAGACCCCTGGTGGTAAGACCCCTGGTGGTAAGACCTCTGGTTGTAAGACTCCTAGTCGTAAGACCCCTCGTGGTAAGACCCCCGGTTGAAAGAATAAAAAAAATTGAGGAGGGAAAATAACAAAATTGTGGAGAAGAGAATAAAAAAAAATGATGAGGAAACGTAGCGTAAAAAAAAAAAGACGGATTGCCTTTGTTTGTCTACTTAATGGATTTCTTTCAAATCACTGAGTATTTTATCTTTTTGCAATTATTAAAGGGTCATAAAGTTAATTTATTGTGTCTTTAAAAGAAAAGTGTCTGGTTTTATTGCGAGTATTTATTAGTCGCGTGTTTCAATTAACCCTTCATAAGTTTTTTTCATTGTTTTGTGTCTTTATAATAAGTCAAGGCTGTCCGTTTGGTCTGGCTGAGAGCGGAGAAAACAGTTTTGTAATAGTTAGTCAAAATTGACATAAAGAGTTTTCAGCTTTTCTTTGTGTATGTGTTTTGGTTATGTTCGATTTTTAGCGCTAAATAGAAGACATAAGCGGTTTCTCGCGTTGCTAGGTGGTCGCTCCTCTTATTCCTATTTTTTTAATAGACGGTCCGACAAACTGGGCTAAAGTTACTTGTTATTATGCTGATCCAGGTCTACAACTGGGAGATCCGGCACCACTCATTGGTTTGTCGCTGTGGACTTGCTGATATTTTTTATACTAAAGTTACTTACCGGGCAAGTCTAGGCAAAGTTTTTGTTTCTATTGTATAACAGAGACGCTCATTAGAAATGGAGAGTATGGAGGAACGCACTTTTTGCGAGGGAATCCTGCATATGTAATGAAGGGAATACACTTTTTGCGAGGGAATCCAAAGGGAATCCACCAAAACGGCGTAAAAACAACATAGTACACTACTGTCAAATTCCCGAAAGCACTTTTGGATCCGAGACTGGTGGCTTAAAAGATTATAGAGGTAATCACCTACTAGGATAGAAAGAGATCCTACTGTCTACACAAATGACTTTTTCAGAGAATTGGTTACGTCATAAACAGAGATAAAATAAAGTGAGGTATTGCCGTGTGAAGTATTTGGTTTTGCCGTGAGGTTTTTGGTTTTGTTGTGAGGTATTTTGTTTTTGCCGTGAGGTTTTCGGTTTTGCCGTGAGGTATTTTGTTTTTGCCGTGAGGTTTTCGGTTTTGCCGTGAGGTTTTTGGTTTTGCCGTGGCAGTTGTGGGCCACCGTATAACTTACTCTGGCCTCTGTCCTTGACTCCAAAGGATGAGGTTGTCAATTGAATGCTCGCCGGAAATATTCTCTGCAGTCTGGCTAACTTCGGAACTTTACGATTACCCAAAGAGGGGAATTTCATATATCCCATGCTGCATCGCTTCATACTATATTATCAAGCTTCCGCACGCACGTGATCCTATCAGTTCAACAACGGTGGAATGCGAAAGCGAAAGCGACTTGTTTTGCCGTTAAAACTTTCTGTACCTTTGCTGTGTCGATCTATTTACGATTTTCGTTTTACCATACCAAATATATCTCTTGTTAAGTCAAAGAGAGTGTTTCGGCGGCCGACTATGAGTTAGCTTACGATAGCAAGGCAGTCCACGCAAATGTTCTTAGATAACAAGGAAGGTCTTTGCTTCAGCACGTCCTGTTTTAACGTGCGTTGATAAAGCTCTCCATGGATTAACAAGCGAGTTCCACGTACTTGTCTTGAAATAAATACATATTCTAGGTGTGAGATTTCTATTCGTTGCTTGTGATCGCGGTGCTCATATTGTCAGTTCAATAATTCATCGATGCAGTCAACCCGTAGGGTGACCGCACATGCTTTTACTTCAACAAGCTCGGCTTATGCAGAAGATACCGAGACCATTAAAGTACAAAGTGACTTCTATCGGAGATAAAATTCAAAGGCGGGGAATAGCTCCAACGAACAACAGAACAAACAATAGAGATAACAAAGACATCTCTAGATATTTCGTAACGCAACACCAGCTAAGAATCATTGTCGTCAAACATAAACAAAGCTTTATTAAGAAATGGCAAAATACATATACAAAAACACCCACTTCTTCGCAACAATGGATCCTAAAAGAATCATCAAAATGTCTTTAAAGGTTTTATACGCCGGTTGAGGTCCTGGGGCATGCTATTCCATGACATTTGCTGGCCTGTATATGAGAAACCAATTTCAAAAAAGCTTTAACACTATAAACCATTGAATTCAAACATTCACCATACCCTCAAGAGATAATATTTGTGTTTTGATCAGCGAAAAATTCAAGAAAAAATGTCCCATCTTCGCAGGACTTAGCATAAAGAAATTGAAACCTTCGTCTTGCATCTTAGCGGAGAAAGGGCGATATTTCAAAACGATAAAACCCATAAAAATCGCGGGGTCGAAAGAGGTCGGCGCTTGGAACCAGTATCAAGCACTCCTTGTACGCAGATTTAAATAATTCATTAGGGCAAAACTTTGCTAGAATAAACACAGTTTTCGATAATTAAAAGTCATCTCAATAAATATTCACTTGCGAGTTAAAACAGCATGGCTTAACAGGGTCGTAGACGAGAACAATAATGGGTGAAATGACCATGGAAACATTTTACATTATCAATCAGATACCAAAGATTAACAGGGCTCATAGAAACTTACCTTGACTGAGCTGCATCTTGAAATTCAGGTCGTTGAAAATCTCCCTCGAAACCCTTGGAATGCTCTTTCCACCGCTGAGAGAAGACAGAAATTAGCCGCGAAGCATCATGGGGTATATGAAATTACCCAACAAACAGGAAGTCCCAAATGTGCATGTGCTCTTCCGAAGTAGTGTATGTAGAGAAGGTCTTTTGCTGAGAACTCCGATCTTTTGAGCATAATTTGGACCTATTCTTCAGCAAATATTTAAATGCTAAATTCACGACATGGCACGAGTTCTTTCATTCTTGCTGAGTAGTCTAGTGACTGTCTGGCTCTCGTCACAATCAATTGAAGGTAAGTTCATTCTAACAACACAGATTTTGAGTAGACAGTAGAACAGGCAGTCGTACAGTGACATGTTAAAAAACGGAGCGTACACTTCGGCGTCGTGGTTGTGGAAATAATTGTAAATGCGGAGGAATAGTAAGAAATGATATATGGTGGAAGTAAGGTGTCAGTTTGTGAAATTATCGGATTTGTCAGGATATTCTGAAAAGAGCAACATCCAAGAGGCCAACTTGCCATTACTAGCATTACGGAGCAAATTGTCTCTGAAATATTAGCCCAGTTATGCTCTGATGACTGGTGGTGAGTAACAAGTTTAACAATAAAAAAACAGTGAAAAAGGAATTCTCTATTTTTTTTTTTTACATCATGCTTCAAAAACAGCCTAAACAGTCTCATGTACTGATTAAAGATATGTAAGGCATGGGTAAGGAGTCAATTACGTTGAGCATGGAATTGGCTAAAACTCAATGTTACTTACGAGTTCGAATGTTTTGAGGACAATCATTCACTGACTATAAGCACGCAGGCCAGGATTAACACAAAGAAGTTTATAGTACTGTACCAAAGGAACATAGTCTTTACAGAGCTTTAAAACACAACATCCTCCAACACAAACTTGACTTGAACTTAATTAAAACTAAACAGCCCCTGCCAATAATAACAAACTATCACTTGAACTTCAGATATCTTACGGCTTCGGTAAACTTGTAAACACAGAACGTGACTTGAACTTTTAAGTTTTTTTAATAACAAACTCTCCCTTGAACTTCTGTGGTGTCATTTCGTGAAATAGCCGAAACCACCCCGTACTAAGAAGATTCTAGTCCTAGGGACAAGTACAACCGTTGCATGTAAACTGAATACAGAAAACATATGGCGCTAGGATGATCCGCCCTGTAGGATCTTCCTGGTACTAGGATCTTCCTCCCTCCATGTAAACAGCACCTTAGAGTGTCCTCTTATTTGACGAGTCACACAGGTGAGTCGGTTTAAACCCCGTGAAAGCCAAAATAATAATTCTTTCTTCCTCGAAAAAGTTAAAGAATAAATCAAAGAAATCGAAGTGATCTCGAGATAACTAGAACAAATAATCCGGCTCTCACTTCGTCAAATAGTCGAACTGAAACCGAAAACCAACAGAATTTCCGTGCCCAATCTTGTCCCAAAAAAAGCAACTTTGGGACATTCCTGAACGTCGCGAATCCTTTACTTCGCGATGCGTGGAAGTAATTAAAAGTTTAAAAACGTTTTGTACGCACGCTTAATATTAGCTGAAAGGCAGCTGAAAAGCTTACCTTGTGCTCCAGCGATCATTTTGAACATTGCAGTTAAAATTTGTAGATAAAAGTCGCTGATGATAAAAGGCTAACTAAATTATCATCTATTTATATTTCTACACCGATCCAAAGGAGGCGATTTGCTTCGCCAGACCTCCAACAGTTTGTTTATAAAATAATTTAGCACGTTTTCAATGGAACAATATATTACTAACAACTCATTAATTTACTCATATCGTAATTTTATACTTCTCTTTAAGACACACGACTATATTTGAGCGAATTAAAACCTCTCCCTCGAAAAGGTCACTATTATTGAGTGTTCCCGCATTCCGTTTTAATTGCGGATTTTGACATTTGTCTCTGAGGAGCTAATTTGTGCGTATTTTATAACTATGGAATGAGTATGGCGTTTAGCATGTTTAGCATATTATCAAATATTAGCACTTAGTTGGAAATTTAAATAACTTAGAATATTATTATGACCTTATTAGTCCGACAGCTTGTCTAAACGACTAATGAAAACATCAAAGTTAACACACCCTGGCAGACGTTAAAAACATGCTAGGACGATTCTCGGATTTGCAAAAAGACTGCAAAGAACTTCGTTTTAAAACGCTTTGTGAAGCTTGAAAAAATTTATGCGTTAGCACTTTCTAGCCTCCCGCTCACACGTTCTTAGGGGTTCGTCACGCGTTCCCGCCCCGCTAACGTCTGCTGACTGAACAGAGATATAATTGTTCGCAAATATATATTAGCTGGAGATCACATGCAGATTATCGGAGATCCAAACGAAAACTAAGACCTAAAACCTGTAGGGGTGTTTACATAACACCTGGGCGACTTTCGCGCTGGGGCGGGTTCACTCCGGTTCCCTCCGATCGCTCGACATTTGTTTACATGATACCACCACAAAATGTCATGCCGGCGCGAGTCGCCCCGGCGCGAGTTCACCCCGGTTGCCGCACCGAGGCGAGAATTTCACTCCGGTACGAGATTTTGCAACGATATCAGGTAAACGCGAAACGTCCACCCATTCCCGGGTGAAATCGGTCTGCCGGTAGACTGGAACGAGTAGCGCATGCATGATGTTTGCGATTATAAATCTCAACATGAAGTGTACCTTCAAAATGACCCAGTCATCATGTGAACGTAATACGAAATCAAAAAGTCATCCCGGTATGAAACTCGCGCCGGTGCGATTTTTCTCATGTGAACACACCCCGTAAGACCCGTCTTAGTGTTTGCACGGAGCCGGGTAAGTGCCATGCAAATTGTGTGCTCGATTTTTTCTCTCTCGACCTTTTTCTCGACTTTTTTCCCGACTTTTTTCTCGACATTTTTTTCGCCTTTTTTCCCAACTGTTCCTCAACTTTTTTAACCGCTGATCACAAACATAAAAGGCTCATTCATCGGTAGAAGTGCTTAGAGACAAGGCCAGGTTTGATTCTGTATTTTTTTATCGCTGAAAATGTAACACCGTGCAGTTCTCCCCTACCTCGACTTCATTTTTGTCTTTTGTCTTCGTTGCCGGGGCTGATTACGTGACCTGAATGACAAATATTATCGAAATCGCTTCCGATCCAATCGATCATCAGTTGGGTTATCGGTTAAACATCACAAAAATAAGGATGTTTCCTCTTCTGGCCAGGCCACATGAGACCATAGCCAGAAAAATTCATTCTTAAAAAGGGCGAGAAAAACAGCATATTTTTATCGTTAACACCCCGGAGATCACCGAAAACAAGGGAGAAAGTTAAGGGGAGCTGCTGGGTAGGGTGGGGGCACGGTGAAATTGTCTGAGGTTACCGGCTAAAAATCACCCAATAAATGAATAAATAAGAAAATAAAAAATAAATGAATGAATGAATTTCCAGTACTAGCGAGGCACTCGAAAATTTTGCGTTTTAATTTCAGAAAAAATATAATAAACAAACCAACGTGCATGTCAGTTCAAAACAAAATGAAGATTGCGTGACAGTGGTGTGTCGAAAGGTCAGCCTTTTTATAGACAAAAGTCCATCTACAGCGGAATGCCAATTTTACGATTTTAAGGATAAACAACCAAAATTATCGATAAATCAGGGTAAAGCATATTTTCAGCGTACAATTATACACAGGTAGTGTATGTCTTTCATCCTTTGGTAAACGTGAAAACTGATATGTCTAGTAGTAGAAGAAGCGGATGGAGCGAATGGTAGTTTTACACCCGGTGTTACAGAATAAAGTCTTTGAACGGTCGTAAACCGACTTTGTATTTATTTTACGGATTGATTTTGTGGGTCTTAGTTTTCGTAATAACGAAAAGTAAGCGGGGTCTTTGTTTTCGAAACTACGAAAACTAAGACCCCTCAATTTATGACCTAAAACTCCATGGAAAGGATCGGACAGAAAATAATTTGACAGATTAGATCTACTTCGGGTAATTTGACTTCATACCTCGTCAAATTCAATTTTAAGGGGTCTTAGTTTTCGTAACACCCGATCCAATCGGCGCTGTTGCAGTCAAAGTGCACATAGGTACATACATACACACATGCATACATACTTTATTGAAAGGTCAATGGTAGGCAGCCAAAGGCTGATGTGGAGTTTTGCTCCGGACAAGAATGTAGAAAATAAGCGTTGGTTTTTTGAATATTTCTCTCTGTAAAGGCTGGATTAGATGTCATTTGCTCATAAAGTTGTTGCTTGGGTGATGCAACAGCAGGGTTACCTTACCTTGCCTTGCCTTCGAGGGCCACTGGGTTATCAGTTGTTAATACTTCCATGTGCTACCCTCGCTAAAGAAAGAGACTATCTATTTATCTTGTAAATGAACAAAAGGCAGAATTTTTTTCACACTTTATTGTTTTGTAGTAAAGCCGACTTCCGTTCAGCAAATTTAACCTCCGAGGTAATTTTTTTCAATGAGATTGTGAGGGTAGCCTCTAGTACGAACGCTTGTGGGTTAACTGAGTAGTTTGCTCTAATACTGTAAGGTCTTCCTTCACCTTTCATGTGGGTAGGGGGGGGGAGGGGACTTTCATGAGACCTTTCTGATCTTTTCTGGAGCTACATGTAAGCCAAACGCGAAATTTCGCAAGTTCCAAAGTGCACTTCCCACATGTTCCCAGATGTGGAAGTCTGCTGCGATTTGGTCTACGTTTTTTCCGCTCAAATCAGCAGACGTTGGTACTTTCATGCTTCGGTTATTTTACATTAAAGCTATATTATAATAATACAAACGCAATGTTTACGGAACAAGAAAAATGACTCAAAAAGAGTTAAATTTACAAGAGAGTATTTGGAATTCCATGTTAATCTGGGTTAAATTGTATGCTATTATAAAAGATGACTCTTTTTTAAAAGTCTTTTCAAAAAAGTTCATTTGCGAAGCCATTCGTTATGATATTGGGCAATCTACAAAGGCTTGGATAGAAGTTTACTTGGCGCTGTTTTAGGCTAAGGCCGTAGCTGAAGTTTGAGCAGTTAGTGTGACAAACGTCTTTGGTATCCTTAATTTTGTGCGTTTGGTTTGACGCCTTCACTTTCCAGCCGAAGTCACATGGCCTGCAGGGACTTATGGGTTACCAAAAGCAAAGAATGGTTGTCCTGTGTCGCTAAAGACCAACTGGACCACAGGCTGGCGGTTTGAAGATCTTGAAGATACAAGACCTGGAACTCGTAAATCAAAAAGTTATCATTTGGATACAAAAGTGGGAGTAGATGTTAACCGGACGTTCTGTATAAAGGCCAAGAACAACGTTTCGACTGAGTGGCCCCAAGGTAAGCTTATTTTCACTGATAAATAAACTGCTTATGAAGGGCTGTTTTCATTTGAGTGTCCTCGGATTAAAAAATTATTAAAAAGACCCCTTCAACCAGATACAACTGCCTTAGAAAATGCGACCAACTAATCAGACCACGAAGAAGTGCGGGTAACCGGTACCCTGGGTACCAGAGGTTTTTTCTCGCGTGCGACGAAGAGCTGAGGAGCTTTCGTCGGCCGCAGGCCGACACGTCTTCGGCCGAAGTCACTTTAAAGACTTGACCGAAACCGGAAACCGCGCATGAAAAGCCTCTGGCACCCAGCGTAGGTAACCGGCGCCCAGTGTGGTAAAATTGGGGAACGAAAGGGACTGGCCCACCCTAAAAAGTCAAAATATATTTTTAGGGATGCGGAGAGGGAGACAAAGTCCAATGTTCTTTCCTCTTGAAAAGAGAAAAACGGCTTAAGGTGTTTCCCTAAGAATCTAACAAAATAATGGACAGCGAACTTTAAAACCACAAAAGTACAAGTGTGTGATAACGCAAAAATCCGTCTTATAGCAATTCAGGAATGGTTTTTTCCATTTACCGTTGATTAGTTGATATAGAGGTAATAGACCATTCTCGCCCATGCAAGGGAATCCAAGGAAGTCTTGGATTCTGGATCCGCGCCGTGGATTCCGAATTCCAGGTACTGGATTCCAGTCTTTGTCAGTGGAACTTCGATTCTGGATTCCAACCGTTAGTGAGATTCAGGACTCCACAAGCAAAATCCGCATTTCCCTACATAGGGCAAACCGTTAGCGCCAACCAGAGACATTCGCAGGCACTTTAATCAGTTAATGTGACTTTTACCAGATGCATGAGGAATTGAGGCTCTGTTTCTGTCATGTAAGACCGCCAAAATCAGTACCAAAAAATTAGGATGAGTTCTTCTTTCTAATACGCCATTGGCTGAAAAAATGGCGCGATCTTATAAAAGATGGCGTCACTCGCAAAGCGTAGCAATCCAAAATTGGCAAAATACAATCTGAGGGCACTTCCAAATTCCAAACTTATGTGTCAGGCTATTTCTCTTTTCGTCCACAGTCTTGAGCAGTTCGGGTCAAATTGATCAATTTTCATATCTGCTTTTTTTAGGTCAGTACTGCATTTTTAAGAAAGGAAATTGCCCCAAGGGATTAAAGAAAGGGTATGTCTTTTGGGACGATGAGGATGACAAGAACATCAACAAGAAAGGAGGGACACTTCCTGACGGCATATACGACAAAGACACTTTGGTCTACTACTGCTGCAGAACAGATGGTGACAAATATACACCCATCTCCCTCCCCGTCATAAGTCCTTTCTATCTTAAGGCGTTCAATACGCCAGAGTGTCAACGAGTTAAAGGCGCAATTGCTACGAAGGAGTTTATACGATTTGACACTGAAGATACCAGAAATAAAGATCGACAGAACGGAAGCTATCCTTATGGCGCGGGAATTGCGAATCATCTACTTCTCTACTGTTATTATGAAAGTAGGTAATAAAGCTTTTTTTTCCTAATTTAAGTGTCACCATCTGTAGTAATTCGTCTAATTCAGTTAAGATACTTAAACTACTTTTCAACGAGTTAAAACTGAAGTCACATCAAAGCCAATCAAATTCGCGGTAAACATAGTGACATCTACCTGTGCCTACGAATTATCAAAGATATCGTAAATTATCTAATAAACCCCCACTCTCAAATACACTCCTCTTATTTAATAAACGCCCTCCCCCCCGCCCACGCTGTTAAGTTTGTATTAAACGCCCCTATCGAATAAACGCACCCCCACCCCCCCCCCCGTGAAAATTGCTCCAAAATACTAAGAAATGGCGATCCTCTTGGTGCGCTAAAATTAAATAAACGCCCCGGGCGTATAATTTACGGTAAACCCAACATTGTACATTTATGAAGTCTGCTTACATTTAGATGAAAAGAAGTTTCAATACATTGGACACAAACAAAATAACAACAACAACTGCAGTTTCTGTTTAAGGCCTTCGAGCAAAGTTTGTTCGTTTGTTTGTTTGTTTGTTTGTTTTAATTTAACATCGGTAACACGCTTTTTGAGGCGCCTTAGTCTAGACCCTTGAGTTTGTTTTCTCAGGTTGTCAGTTCACATACAGCTTGAACGGAATTCGAGATGAACAGATAGAATTCACTTCTCCCAAGTTTTACGACGATGGGTATCCCCTTTCTCAGAAATGCACGTGGCGATTTGCTGCCCCAGAGAAAAAGGAGGTCCACATAGAGTTTCTTGAAATGGACATCGAAAATGGTGACGTTATTAAGATTTACAAAAACTGGAAAAGCGATGGATCAGTATGGGCGATTGACAATAAAAATCCTCCTAAGGTTGAAGGCTATGGAAGTGCAAGATTTCTTTTAATGGAGTTTCAGTCTAGAAAACCTGATTCTTCAAAGAAGAAATCTAAAGGTTTTCGTGGCGTCTTTAAAGTTAAAGGTGGTGGAGGTAAGATTCAAATTGCTTGAGCTCGTTCTTTGTTTGTTTCGCCATCTTGTGTCGAAGGAGAACAAGCAAAAGAGCCTGGAAATGAGAAATGTTTTGCGACACGCCCGACACGCACTCATCTTTCTGACGTCATAGTCAGCAACATATTCCTTCAACAGAGAGGTTACCCGCCAGGTCTGGGCAAACCGGTGCCTCCCACCGGTTTGTTGTTTGTTGTCGGTGATCAGATCGCCTCTTGTGCTTAACAATCATCTACAGAACGTATTCACTCACGTGGCCAGCATCTATGCAAATTTATGGGAACAAGAGAAATTTTTTACATAAGAAGAGTCTAACTCCCACAGGATTTGTTTGGAAAACCAATATGGCCGCCGTGACGTCATGTGAATACGCTCCATAATCATAGATCCAATGCAAAAATGGCTGCCAGATTAATATTCTTTTGCTTGAATTAAAACTAGCCTGACTAGCCTCGTTCTCCAGTACAAAATTCAAAAGAATACATTATCTCAAGCGAGGCTAGTCAGGCCAATCTTAATTTAAACAAAAGAATATCAATCCGGCAGCCATTTTTGCATTAGGTCTATTAGTCCCAACTATGCAAAGGTCACTCACAGTCCGTTTTCTACAATCTAATATGGGTTTAATCCTTCAGGTTTCACTAATCAGTTTTTTTCACGCGCAGCATGAAATAAAAGAGCAATTATATTTACTATTTTTGACAGCCTGTGATCATGCCTTTCTATATTTCTGACGGCATCGGGAAGGAGGAAAATTCTTTGTTCTCTTTCTCAAACAAGAGTTTTAAATAACCCTGATTGTAGGCTACATCAGATGCCCCTTTTTGCATAGTCACACACTGTATAAGAAAATATATCAGGAGGTTTAAGCAACGACGACGGTGACGTCAACGAGAACGACTTTGCACATGCATCACGCTTTCTTGAACATTTCTTTGCCGTCGTTGCTCGACTACGACGTGAAACGTTTTAATTTCACGTTTTGTGGAGTACGTGACCGCAAGACAATGACTTTCTTTTTCTTTTCCTGAACTTTGATACAGTCCTTTAGAATTCAACTACAGAAAAATTTGCCATCATTTGACGAATTGAACGATGTAAAATAAGCACAATAAAGTTTTCAGCAGCGCAAATTCACTTTTTAAGTGACGTTTTCGTTGCCTTGGCCGTCGTTGTTACTTAAGCTCCGCAATATATAGTTATTGTCAGACACGTCCATAAACGCTCACTTCTCGATTGTGTTAGAGATTCCGTTCAATCTTAAGCTTCTTTGTGTTCACGCCATTTTAGAGTTGCCTCCTTCGGGTGTCGAGTGGCCTTCCGGGACTTTCGGGATCCCTCGTCCCAGGCTCGGATGTCCTCGCTCAAAGAACGTCACGTGGTCTACTGGCTGGCGATTTCAGGACACGGAAGACGTATACCCCAACAACTATCATTCACAGAATTTTCACATGAACTCATCAGTCATGAAAGATGACGTAAACAGAACCTTCTGCATAGCTACAGAAAATATTGGGAAAAAGTCTTGGCCTAAGGGTAAGGCATCAATTTTAGTCTGCGAACAAGTTTTCCAGTGAAAAATCGCAAGAATGCGGCGCGCAACTATGAAGCGAGGCTTTCACTAGGCTCGATTACCAGCCACTGTTCAAGAAACGAGCCTGCGCTCGAGAGAGCGGCGGAAATCGAGCCTAGGTTTTCACGAATCAATCATGGATGATCTTCCATTTAATTTCCAATAAAGACAGTTTTCTGTAGGACTATTTGTCTTTCATTTGCTCACCAAAAAAACGTGAAATAGAGCATGGAAAGAATGGACTCAGTTGAAGTTTATATTTTAAAGTTACTGCCTTCATGTACAGCTCTGTGTGCAGTATGAAAATATCACCCCACATGATATTGTCTCAGTCTAGGATTTCCTCCAATAATTCCGTTATTCCTGTTATGGCTAGCTTCAATTCTCATGTAAATTCTAATGTTTATTGCATTTATTTTTATCTCATTTTAGGTCAATACTGCATCTACAAAAGGGGCACATGTCCAAAAGGACTCACAGAGGGATACATATTTTTTGATGACGAAAATCGCAAAAACCTAAACAAAATGGGAGGGGTACTACCGGACGGAGAATACACCAAGGATACCAAGCTTTTCTACTGCTGTAGAACAGATGGAGACAAAGCAGAGCCTATCTCTCTACCCATTAGTAGTCCCTTTTACCTTTTGGCGTACAACAATTCCGAATGTCAGCAAGTAAATGGAGCGCTTGCTACAAAGGAGTTTATACGATTTGACAACGAGGACACAGGAAACAAGGACGCCAAGGGTGGGACGTATCCGCACGCGTACGGAAACTTAATAATCTCTTATTGTTACTATGAAGGTTAGTTTGGTAATAGCCTGGAAGCAAGCTCTTTGGGGCGCTCTGGTGGCAGGGCGGGAAAAGGACGGAGAGCTTGTAACTACGGCTCTGGAATTTGAATTCCTCCTCCAATTCCCCGGGGGCTCCCCGTCGGCTGAAGTGTCAGATTTCCACCAATCAGTGCAAAGCGGAAACGAGAGTGAATGTAAACAAACATTGAAAAACACGTGAGAGATCATTACTAATGTCATCTCCGCCAATCAGCATTTCGAATTGACGTTGTTGCAAGCTCTCCTTTCCTTTCCTGCCTCGCCGCCAGAGCGCCCCGGAGAGCTTTCTCGCAGGCTAGTATGGTAACCAAGGGCACTTAAACGCTGAGCAATGTTTTTGCATCTTGTCATGCAGTGTCCGTTTCGCCACTTAAGAAACGATATGGGGACTGGTGCCGTAATGCGTCCCGCAATTGTCTCTGGGGTCGCTACTGGGGACGCGCCGGTCAGCTGATGGCTTCTTGTTTCTTAACCCTTTCACTGCCAAGTGTGGCCAAAGGCAAGTTTCGACCAAATTTCCAAATTTCATTTTCCAAAATTGTAGCATCATCTGAGAGTACAGGCAAAGAGCTTTCATTTGAATGGTCACATCATAGGATTTCGTCCACAGACTCAAAAGTTAGAGTCACCTTACAAAACTCCATCAAACACTCTGGCAGTGAAAGGATTAAATGGGGAATTACAAAACAAATTTTAGAAACGGCACGTTGCCCAGGGCAAAAAATCTTGCAACAAGCAAAATTGCATCTCACGTTTTCTTAAGTTACACAGAGGAAAATCTCCGATTATCATGAGCATGATCTATATCATTATTGTTTCAATCCTTAGCTTGTCATTTCACCGTCAGCGCGACATCCCAGGAGTTTATGTCTCCAAGTTACGCTACCGGTGGTTACCCTAGTTCTCAGCTTTGCACGTGGCGGTTCCTGGTACAAGAGAGCAATCCTCCAACTGAGCAGGTTTTAATCAAATTCCCGGAGTTCAACCTTCAAAAGGGCGGAGACGGAGATGTTGTAAAGATTTACAGCGGATGGGATGAGAAAGCCCCTCTTCTTGCAGAGTTCAGCGGGGATAGACCTCCACCAGCGAAGGGCGTGGCATTTAAGTCTCCTGTAGTTTTTCTGGTGTTTAGATCCGATTCTCGTGGAAAATCAAAGGGCTTTCGTGGACTGTTCGTCAACCAGCGTGAGTTTAAAGGGTTTTATGTAGTAAAGGACGCACTTAGGTATGAGTGTCTCGTTCGAACAGCAGTGACTATCAATGAGGAGGCAGTGTGGCCGATTGACCAGTGGACTCGCAATCCGGTGGTCCAGGGTTCTCGTCGCCACTTGCTGGTTTTATTCTCGGCAAGAGAACATTTCTCGGTGGTCCCGAGTTCAAATCCTTGGCCACACTTGTAAATAGACAGCTGGTCGCCTACTGCTAGTTGGGGTTTTTAACCCTGTTGCGTTCTCTGTGCATTGTTTGTTTCTAATTATGTTTTTCTCTTTTTGTAGCTTACGACGCAACAGCTGTACCTAAACACCCTATTACCCTTCCTTATACTTCGACGATTAAGCCAAGTAAGAACACTTTTGTAAACCTAGTTCCTGTGTGCTACTGGCACGGGTTACTATATCTAGTATACTTTTACAAGGCTACGCATAACATGATTCACTTAGATCCGTCTGTTGTTCCCTTCGTGACCCGGACACTCCAAGGAGCTTCAAAAGTATTTGCCTGAAATGTAACACAGCCAGGTTTTTAGACCAGGAAATTAGCTGCTGCATGTGATTTAAATTGCTACTTTTATATCTATTTATTTTTTGGGTCCGCAGTAATTGGCTTTAGATGTTGCGGTGTCCCTGCCCTAATATTTTGTTTGCATATCCACGGTGTTTTTTTTTTTTTTTTGTATTCTTCAGGGCAAAGCTAATAAAATAAAAAATAAAATGGTAACGTCCGGAACTTTTAACAACCCGTAAGTGACCGCTACGTTTCTGGGAAACTGCCCACCTACCCCTCCCCTAAGCCAACATTTTGCCCTGAGTGAGAAGTAAGTGTTAATGTTGACTAACATCAATTTTCTCCCTACAATATCCATAGCTTGTCAAGAGATAAGGTTGTGAGAATTAACAAAATGATAACCAAAAAAAAAAATGCCTTCATCTTTTATTAAATTCTCTCAACTAATTCTTAACGGAAATGTATGGGGATCAGTTTGGAGAATTTGAATGTTAATATTGGAACTTAAAGGATTAAATGAGCTGTGTCACTGACGGTCTACTTAATTGGGTTAATGCTGCCAATAACGCGTCTTTATTCGTTGAGGGACGTAACGTTAACGAGGAATCCATTGTCAATTTACTAATCAGGTTGAAGGGAAATTCGAAACGCATTTCCGGTAGCTAGCTGAGTCCGTTGGGGACCAGATCCCGGGGGGAAGGGACTCCGCATATGAAAGGGGTGGGGATGCTCGTCGTCTCGCTTAGGGGTGTAAATTTCGGATTTTGGTCTCACTTAGGGTGTTTTGGGCAGAAGGCCATCATATTTCGCCGTAAAGGTCTCGTTTAGGATTGCACGCGAAAAAATATAAAAATATATATATTGTCTGGGTCTTAACATGGTCTCTTTTAGGGGTCAAAAAAAGCTTGGGCCACGCCCAGATTGGTCTCCTTCAGGGGCAAACCTTGTGTGACAAGCGTGAAAATAATTTTGTTTGAATAAGCCTTCTGCCAAACTTCACCTTCCTTTAAACAGATCTTCTTGTAAAATACAAGGACAGAGTAAGTTAAGTGAAGATCAGGTCAAAACTCGCAAAAAACAGCCCTGTCACGTTTGTCGCACACAAGCGTTTTGCTGTCTCTCCTTCCTGCGGTCCTGTTGCGTAAACTCACTATTAACAGGATGAACTAGACGGTAGAGTCTAGTTGTAGAGTCTAGGGTAATGCATCGTTTCGCTGTGTTTTTTATAGTTCCTTCTTCGAATCCAACTGTAACGCCAACGGAACGAACCGCAAAGACAATATCGACTGAAAAAGTTAGTTCTACTGAGGTCAAAAAGCCAGTAGGGACGCCTAGAAAATCTGTGGCGCGTCCAAGAAAAGGTAACATTAATGTATGTGTTGCAGTTAATTATTTATTTCAGTTAATTTTTGTTTTTCCGTTGTTTTTTGCCATGGTAATGAATCTGAAACAAAGAAAAACAAAACTTAACTGCAACATATGTGATAATGAACAATTGTTTAGTGAGGCTAAGAAGGATGTAATGAATTCTAAAGATCGAGCAGGATGTTATTTTTCTTGCAGATTCTCTTCAAAAAGTAGACAGTAAAGATAAAAAGCATGGGAATGAAACATTTAATCAACCATGAAAACGTGTGCTAACTTAAAAACATATTTTCGTCATTAGTGTCGTAGGAAGAGAATACGTGGAGAATATTCGTGCTGGGTTTTACAGAAGGTTATAAACGAGGTTGAGCAAAATATCGTGATTTGTCAGTGGAGGTAAATAATTGATCTGCAAGACACTGACAAATCAAGATATTTTGTGATAACCGAGGTCAATAACTGTTTTATCATTCGGTCACCGAGTTTGTTTTTTAATGAGTATCTGCTATTTTCACGCAAGAGCGATCGCAAAAAGGAGAAAAGCGTGGTTTCATTTACGCATGAGCAGAATATTATTTGCAGCCAAACACAGTTGGATTACAGCAGACCATTATTTGTGGGCAATTATTTGCAGGCCACGTTTTGGGCTCTCGATCAATGAAAAGGAAAAATAAATTGCTTCGAATGATAATCATTATTATGACTATTGTGATTATGATTATCATGATTATGAATATAAATATGATTATGATTATGATTATGATTATGATTATAATAATAGTGATAATTATTATTATTATTAATAATAAACTTCAGGGGATATTTAGTTTATTTTTTCTCACGAATGTTTTGCAAACACTTTGCAGATTCCAATGTTTCGGCTATCGTCGCGCCAGTGGTAGTGTTCGTTTTGCTCGCCGCTCTGCTGTTGGTTGGATTCTTCTACTGGAGAAGGTGGGATCTGCGCACCTTAGTAGAAACACAATAAAACACTTTTAAAGGGAACCTGAACGTTAAAAGCTAAAACAGGCGATTTTTGTATTAGTTTCCCTTTAGTAAATGGTAAGAAATGGTGCCTGGTTTTCCTTCCTCGTAGGCAGTGGCTGAACTGCGGAGGAACCAGAGAGGTGAGATCGGCACGTAAAGGTACACTTCGCAGCCGCCTTAATCTATGTTTGATCACACTTCGCCCACCCCAGACCTCAAGACTAACGAATGCACAAATTAGATAGACTATGACACTGGGGGCTATACCTCGCTTAAACTGCGATCATCCCTCTTCCCTCAGACTAACATCCCGTACTCTTTTCAAACAATTTCAAAGGTTCGTTTTATTAATAAACCTGGAAATTGTATCAAATTTAAAAATAATCCCATGTGTGCCGTCACAGTGAGGCTATCTACAATGGATTTTATGTTTATTCCATGACAGAAGAAGCTCCATTAAAAAGGCCGTGCTGAACATTACTCTCCCACCAGTGAGATATCCGAAGTAAGTTACCGTAAAATAAAAATTGGTCTTATATGCGTACTTGCGTTTTTACGGGTGGGGGAAGGCACTTGACAACGTTTTATGGGGAGGCTTCGCCCCTCAGTTTAACCCTTATCCTTTAATACACATTTTTTCACAGAAAAGTTATCCCTTTCGAAATCCTGCCATTGAAAATGGTACCGTTTTCACATGCCTTCATAAGAACGCTGTGTCCCTTTTCCATTCTCTTTATTTTAAAATCGTAGGGGTTCAGGGCATTTTCTATATGTGCCCCTCAGCTTTGGAATGCCCTTCCTCTGGAGCTAAGCGTGTGCCGTTCTGTAGGTAGTTTTAAGAAAGCCCTGAAGACGTTTCTTTTCAAAAAGGCTTATTGTTGAGTAAAACTAAGACAAACCTTTTTATGAACGTATGTTACAGATTGGTCCCAAGATTTTGAGATTTTATTTGAGTTATGTTTTATTTTTTAAGGCAATTTTCAATTTTCTATTAATGTGAAGCGCTTATGGACTCTTAACGAATAAGCGCTATATAAATAAATTGTCACGTTATTATTATAATCATTATTAATGAAGTTAAAAAATATTACCGAAGGACATCGGGCATTACTGAAAGAGATGTTAACTACGGAATATTTAGCTAAAATCCCTTTAAGATACCTATAGATGACAGATTTTCCCTGAGTACCTTTCATTAACTTCAACTCGAGAAATTCCTTCTCTTTTATTTACTTGCATACTGCAAAGGTTCCCCTTTTGGGCGGAGCCTCTTCATGTAGGCCATTATAGGGAGTACTTCCGGGGGTTTATACAGTAGATGAAGTCGTCTCCTCTTGTTAATAGACTTCATTGCTGCTATTGTTTAGAGAAACTTTGAATTTTTGTCGTGCAAGTTGAAAAACAATGATGTCATGCGTTGAACAAGAGTAAATAATCATCATTTTATGACCCAGGTAGCCAACAGACTCCGTTAAAATTTAACTATTTTAAAGACTATTAGTAATTGAAAATTAGGATAGTGCGTCCGACCGTGATTTCACTAGACTAATCACGTGATTTTTGTGCAAACGAGGCTAAACCTTGAACGAGGCAGAACATAGATACCAGTTCCTGGCCGAGAAAAAGCCCCTGAAAAATCTGCAGGACGGCTCAAAGTGCGTCCGTTATACAAGTAACAAAAAAACAACAACTGAGTAACCAAAAAAAGCACATGAGTGTTACGAAGAGTAGAACTGATATCACAGTTTTAACACTTTCTTATTCTTTTTACTTTGGGACAAGACCCTTGGACATTCTAATTCACAATAATAGGAATTCTTCTGGTCGTTGTCGAATTAAACACCCTCTTTCGCTCAGTTCAAAATCACGCCGCCATAAGAACCTCGGAAATTTGAAAACAAACATTATTTTAACTTCTTTTTGTATATTTGGTTTGCTTTCTCATTTATTTTACTTTTCAGAGATGAAGAATTATGCCCAGACACCAAAGATGCTTAGCCATTAAGAAAAGAAACAAAAACGCCATTCAACTCATTTTATGTTTGTTTGTTTTGGGTGAGTCGTGAATCATGTCCACGGCATTTTTAGCTCAGTCTGCAGGACGGTTTCATTTAGCTGATCCAAGTCCTGCATTTGTGATCTTCTGATTATCTCCTTTCCAATTATAAGTAAATCAGTGTGTTATTAGAGTTCTCAAGGCTTGAGCAAAATTTTGTTTTAAAAATTTCCAATTATAAGTAAATCAGTGTGTTATTAGAGCTCTCAAGGCTTGAGCAAAATTTTATTTTAAAACTTAAAACCCTAAAATCAACCATTGTGCTCTACGTTGCATCTACTGAAGGTGTATTGTTCGGTTGAGAAGATGTAAACCAGTAAAATTATGTCAAAATAAAATTGTGTTTTACTTTCAAAGGCTTGTACACGGTCTTCACGTCCATTAAAAGACCCTCCCCTCTCCCACTAAAAGAGTGTTCTTGCATTCAGTAAGTATTGGAT